ATATTGACTATAGATCAGTTTATAGTTTTGACTATAGCTCAGTCCACAGTCTTGATTATAGATTAGTCTATAGTCTTGACTATAGTCTGGACTATAGAACAGTCTATAGTCTGGCCTATAGAACTGTCTATAGGTTGGGCTATAAAGCAGTCTTTAGTCTGGACTATGGAACAGTCTATAGTCTGGACTATAGAAGAGTCTATAGTCTGCACTATAGAACAGTCTATAGTCTGGACTATAGAACAGTCTATAGTCTGGACTATAGAACAGTCTATAGTCTGGACTATAGAACAGTCTATGGTCTGGACTATAGAACAGTCTATAGTCTGGACTATAGAACATTCTATAGTCTGGACTATAGAACAGTCTATAGTCTGGACCATAGAACAATCTATAGTCTGGACTATGGAAAAGTCTATAGTCTGGACCATAGAACAGTCTTTAGTCTGGACTATAGAACAGTCTATAGTCTGGACTATAGAACAGTCTATAGTCTGGACTATAGAACAGTCTATCGCCTGGACTATAGAACAGTCTATCGTCTGGTCTATAGAACAGTCTATACTCTAGAACAGTCTATACTCTGGAACAGTCTACAGTCTGGAATATAGAAAAGTCTATAGTCGGGACTATAGAAAAGTCTATAGTCGGGACTTTAGAAAAGTCTATAGTCGGGACTATAGATTTGTCTATAATCTGGACTATAGATCTGTCTATAGTCTTGACAATAGTCTTTAGTCTTGACTATAGATCAGTCTATAGTCTTCAGTTTATAGTTTTGGCTATAGATCAGTCTATATTCTTGACTATAGATCAATCTATATTCTTGACTATAGATCAATCTATAGTCTTGACTATAGAACAATCTATAGTCTTGACTATAAAACAGTCTACAGTTTGGACTATAGAACAGTCTATAGTCTGGACTATAGATTTGTCTATAATCTGTATTATAGATCTTTCTATAGTTTTGACTATAGCTCAGTCTTTAGACTGCACTGTAGAACAGTCTATAGCCTGGACTATAGAACAGCCTATAGTCTGGACTATAGAACAGTCTATAGTCTGGACTATAGAAGAGTCTGGACTATAGATTTACTCTGGACTATAGATTAAGCCTGGACTATAGGTTTGTCCATAGTCTGGACTATAAATCTGTCCATAATCTGGACTATTGATCTGTCTATAGCCTTGACTATTGATCAGGCTATAGTCTTGACTATAGATAAGTCTATATTCTTGACTATAGAGCAGTCTATAGTCTTGACTATAGATCAGTCTATAATCTTGTCTATAGATCAGTCTATATATAGTCTTGATTATGTAACACTATATAGTCTTGACTACAAATTAATCAATTTTTTTCTTAATTTGAATATTTTCCAATTTTGTTATATATTTGGAATTTGATAAGGGCTTTAATTTAAAACCTTGCTCTTTGCCCTCGCTATACAAAATTTTGTTAATTATTTCTTAATTTTCTTTAACATTTATCAATTAAATTTTATTATTTTTCTTTCAAATCCCTTTATAATAGCAAAATAAACTTTTGAGTGGGATTAAAAGAACATTAAGCTGAAATTCAAGTATTTATTATAACTTTAATAAGAGTATTTAATTTGTTTACTTTGCTTTTAAAACAAAATCAACTGTCAAGACAACCGAGAGTACAAATACTCCTCCTCGTTATATAAACATAAAATTTCATGTTTATTTTTTCCAATTTTTTTCATGCAACAAAAGATGTTTTTTTTAGTATATTATAGGAAAAATTTTGTTGTTTTTATTATTTTTTTTCTTAAGGTTTTATGGCTTTTAACAACAGTTTTATGATGTTGGCCAAAATAAAGAAAAAAAACAAGTATACGCTGTTAAACTCATGCTTTGATAACTTGACTTATTACTTGCCACAATTTTTTTCACTTTTTCCGTTAGCCACTTGAAAGAAATTGTTCTGTCCTCTTGTTAAGGAACAAAAAACAAACAAAGCCACATTAAAAAGGAAAAAATAGCCCGACGTTTTTTTTATAAACCAAACAAAATGAAGGAAAACAACAAAACAAAAATTATATTAAAATTGAATTCAAAACAATTTAATAGAAAAAAATAAATTACCCACAATTTAAGCTCTTACAAAAATATTCACTTAAACACTTCCCTCATACCCCTACACCAAAACCTCTGTACATTTTCAAACCCTTAAAGCAAATCAAATTACTTTTGTAGAAGCAAAAATGGTTGCTTTAGTGTTAAAGAGTATTTAACTTCCGGTTCGATAACATCATAATCATCATCAACATCAGCATCAACACCCTCATTTAAATGTCTTTAAAATTTTCTTTCTATTTGTAAATATCCTTTCAATTTAAAACTTTAATGTGAAACATGCTTTCTTTTAGTTTGACCTTGGTCTTGGCCATTTTTATTGAGGTCTTGGTTATACACACGTGTGTCTTATTTAGTATTTATATATTTTTGTTTTGATATGCTTGGTTGGTCTTTTCTTAGTTTATGATTCTTTATTTGTAGTGCCACTGTCTCTAAATGTTAATGAGGTTTAACAACTCTTAAGCAGTTTGTTATTTTTATATTTTTCAATGGATTAATAATTGAAATACAATGAAAACGTTAAGCGTTGAACTGTAGAATAATATATTCATTTTATAAGAATCAAAAATTAAATAAGTAATTCAGTCTATAGTCTATAGTCTTCACTATAGATTAGTCAATAAGGATATAGATTAGTCGGAAAAGGATGAGATTAGTCTCGACGATAAATCAGTCTTAGACATGAATATAGATCAGTCTATAGCCTGGAATATAGATCAGTCTAAAGTCTTGATTATAGATTAGTCTTGACTATATGTCAATCTATACTCTTGTATATAGATCAGTCTATGGCCTTGACTATAGATCAGTCTATAGTATTGACTATATATCAGTCTATATTCTTCACTACAGATTAGTCTATAGTCTTGACTATAGATCAGTCTATAGTCATGACTACAGATCAGTTTATAGTCTTGTCTACAGATCAGTCTATAGTCTTAACTATAGATCTATAGTATTGACTATATTTCAGTCTGTATTCTTCACTACAGATCAGTCTATAGTCTTGTATATAGATCAGTCTATAGTCTTGACTATAGATCAGTCTAAAGTTTTAACTATAGATCAGTCTAAAGTCTTGAATATGGATCACTCTGTAGTATTGATTATGGATCCGAATATATTCTTGACTATAGATCAGTCTGACTATAGTCTTGTATATAAATCAGTCTATAGTTTGGATTACAGATCAGTCTATAGTCTTGACTATAGATCAGTCTATAGTCATGACAATAGTTCAGTCAAAAGTCTTGTCTACAGATCAGTCTATAGTCTTAACTATAAATCAGTCTATAGTCTTGACAATAGATTAGTCTAAAGTCTTAACTATAGATCAGTCTAAAGTCTGTAGTATTGATAATGGATCAGAATATATTCTTGACTATAGATCATTCTATAGTCTTGAATATGGATCACTCTGAATGATTGATTAGGGGTCAGTATATGTCTTGACTATAGATCGGTCTATATTCTTGACTATAGATCAGTCTATATTCTTGGCTATAGATTAGTCTATAATCTTTACTATAGATCAGTCTATAGAGTTTACAAAAGATCAGTCTATAGAGTGTACTATAGATCAGTCTATAGTCTTGACTATAGATCAATCTATAGTCTTGACTATAGATCACTCTGTCGTATTGACTATGGATCAGTCTATAATATTGAATATAGATCAGTCTATAGAGTTTACTATAGATCAGTCTATAGTCTTGACTATAGATCAGTCTATAGTCTTGACTGTAGATCAGTCTATAATATTGACTATAGATCAGTCTATAGTATTGACTGTCGATCAGTACATAGTCTTCACTACGGATCAGTATATATTATTGATTTTAGATCAGGCTATAGTCATGACTATATTTTAGTCCATATTCTTCACTACAGATCAGTGACTGTATATCAGTTTATAATCTTGCCTATAGATCAGTCTATGGACTTGACATTCGATCTGTTTATAGTCTTGACTACATATATATCAGTCTATAGTCTTGACTATATATCATTCTATAGTCTTGACTATAGATCAGTCTACAGTCTTGACTATAGATCAGTCTATAGTCTTGACTATAGATCAGTCTATAGTCTTGACTATTGATCAGTCTATAGACTTGACTTTAGATTTGTTTAAGGTCTTAACTATAGATCAGTCTATAGACTTGACTTTAGATCTGTTCTTGGCTATAGATCAGTCTATAATCTTGTCTATAGATCAGTTTATAGTGTTAACTTTAGATCAGTTTATAGTCTCAACTAAATTTAATGATCATTTTTGTTTTTGGCAAATTAGTTCAAAATGATTTAGGTAAATTTTTTCTAGAGATGAGATTACTAGTTCATTTGGTAACAATTTATCACCAAAATATTTTGTTTCAAAAATTCATTGAAGTTTAAATATATAATTCTTAGGAAAACGAGCCACCAAATATTGTATTAAGATTTCTATTTATGCAAAATGTTTTCCCAGAAAAATAGAAAACGTGACATGAATTCTTGTGTGAAACATAAATTCTTAAAAAAAAAATTTAAACAATAGTAGAAGAAGAAGTAAGGAGTTTTATAAATAGATTAAAATACTAAGGAATAATTAATGATTAAGGAGGATAAAAATAAAGAAAAATATAAATAAGAAAAGAAAAAGTTATTTATAAAAAGTTCCTTTGAGTTTAATGAATGAGAGAATCGAATACTTTAAACTATATTCAGATAGCCCAGCAAAGTTTCTCTATAAAGATAAGGACGATTTACTATGAAGGGAGTTTCAATAATCCCTTTTTCTGGCACCAAAGAGCTACATTTTAAAGTTGGATACAAAAAAGATTTCAAAATCCTATTCGCTAAGTTCTAAACTACAAATCTCTCACTTTTTCTCTTTTCCTTTTTTTCAGGCTGAATCACCACTACTTCCCATCAAAGAGCACAGTTTAACGGAAACCAATAATAACGATAATACAACAGCGACAGCATCACCAACACCACCTACACTTACCACCACAACAACACCAGATAGTGATAAGAATACCTCAATTAACATATCACAAAATAGATTATCAGCGGAACTGCCGGTAGTAACACCGAATGATTTAAGTCCCTCCTATAGTGGCAGTCGTAAACGTTTCTCCATACCCTCCCTGCTTCCAATAACACGAAAACTTTCCATCGAAAGTATAACCCACCCGCTCCAGACACTTTTGGGCATAAGTGAAGAGCAATGTCAGCGACGCAATTCACAGCCAAATCTTAAACGTTACCGTAGTCGAGAAGATACAGGACGTCGTAGTCGATGTTATTCGAATCAATTTTATACAAAAACCTCCACCACTTCACCGTCACGTAAACATTCACACAATTATAATCTCTATCCCAAGGATTCGTTTTATAATCTACAAGGTAAGGCGCCCAAGCCCTCCAGTAAAATGCAAGCCAAAGTTGATGCTGTCGGCCGGGTAACCGGTGAATGGGGTAAATGGCAATTGCGCACCGTGCTCTTGATATTTTTATGTAAAATTCCCTCTTCCTGGTTTATGGCCTGTATTATATTTACCGCTCCGGCTCCACGTCATGGTGAATTCTTCTGTAAACCACCTCCCCAGATAGGTGCCAAAAATCAAACGGCCTGGATTAAAGTTTCACATCCGCAAAAAGAAGAAGCTGAGGATCAAGAGTTTTCTATAGATTTCTGTAATGTTTATAAAGATGCTCAGGAACATGCCCATCATTACTATAACTATGAGCGGGAGGAAGATGAACCGAGAGTTTGGCTGGAACCGGAAAATAATAAAGATATTATACCCTGTACACAATTTGAACATCAAGCGGAATTTCATTCGGTAATAACACAATATGATCTGGTGTGTTCGCGTGATATTTTGGTGTCAGTGACGCAGTTCTTCCATTTGTTTGGTGTACTGACGGGCGGTATACTGGCGAATCATTTATTGAGATAGTAAGTAGGGAATTTATCATAATTGTACTTTATATATGGTATCAGCAAAGAGATCTCTTATCTTTAGGCCAGTGAAATGTGAAAAGCTCTCTTGCTTTTTTCCACTCTCTGCCGATCTATTCTTTCTACATATGTACGTAAACTTTCACAAATTTTTGTTAATTCTCATCAGTTACCGGTAAAGAGCTCTTACATAAGTTCTCTTGCTCTCTCTCTCTCTCTCTCTCTCTTCTCTAAATTAACTCTCTCTAACTGTCGATACCAGCTCTATATAGAAAAAATTTGTACCTTCTTATATATTTACCTTTTTTCCTCTTACAGTTTCAGTCCCCGTATGGTAATGCTGTTTGGTATGGTCACGCAAATCTTTTGTGGTACTATGACAGGTCATGTGGCCTCATATGAATTGCATGTCTTCTTCCGTTGTCTATCGGCTGTGTGTTGTGCTCAAATGTATACCGCTGGTGGCATGATTAGTAAGTTTAAGGAAATTCTCAAATCATTAGAAACTGAATATGATTTTCTCTTATTTTTCAGTGGCCGATATAACGGGTGGTACTTACAAGACCTGCGTCTCAACATTATTTGAACAGTTCTGGTCTATAGGCGTGATAATGTTACCCGGTGTGGCTAGTTTCTTTTCGAGTTGGTCACACTTATATATGGCCATTTCATGTCCCACTGTGATACTCATATATTTATGGCAGTAAGTAGTTTAAGAAGTAATAAAGTTTAAAGTGAATCTTTTAGATTGAAATGAACGGCACTTGTTTAATGTGGAATACTAGGGAAAACATTCTATTTGAAATACAGTTTTTGATCAAGACTATACTATGACTATAGATTAGTATTGGCTATAGATCAGACTAAAGTCGGTCTATATCCAATACTATAGTTGAGAGTAATCTCAACTTTAGTTCAACTAGAATATATTATAGTTTGGACTATAGAACAGACTATAGTCCGGACTATAAAATGGACTATAGTCTTCACAATAGAATAGACTATAGTACAGACCATAGTCTGGACTATAGAATAGACTATAGTCCGGACTATAAAATGGACTATAGTCTAGACTAAGTATCGAATAGACCATTGTCTGGACTATATAATATAGTCTAGTCTATAGAATAGACTATAGTCTGGACTATGGAATAGTGTGGACTATAGAGTAGACTATAGTCTGGACTGTATAATAGAATATAGTCTGATTATAGTCCGTACTATAAAATAGACTATAGTCTGGACTATAGAACAGATTATAGTCTGGAATAAAGATTAGATTATGATCAGAATATAGTAGACTATAGAATAGACTAGTCTGGACTATAGTATGGACTGTATAATAAACTATAGTCAGGACTATAGAATATAATATAGTGTGGACTATAGAATAGACTATAGTCTGGACTATAGAATAGACTATATTCTGGACTATAGAATAGACTATAGTCTGGACTATAGAATAGACTATAGTCTGGATTATAGAATAGACTATAGTCTGGACAATATAGTTGGCTATGATTTGGACTGTAGAATAGACTATAGTCTGGACTATAGAATAAATATAATCCAGACTATAGAAAATATTATAGTTTGGCTTATAGAACAGACTATAGTTTGGACTATAGAATAGAGTATAAAATAGACTATAATCTGGACCATAGAATAGACTATATAATTGACTAAAGAATAGACTATAGAATAGACTATAGTCTGTTCTTGACTATAGAATAGACTATAGTCTAGACTATGGAATATATTATAGTTTGGCCTATAGAACAGACTATAGTTTGGACTATAGATTAGAGTTTAAAATAGACTATAATCTGGACCATAGAATAGACTATATTCCGGACTATAATCTTGACAATAGAATTGACTAAAGAATAGACTATAGAATGTACTATAGTCTGAACTATAGTCTGTTCTAGGCTACAGTATGGAATATAGAATAGACTATAGTCTGGAATATAGAATAGACTATAGTCTGGATTATAGAATAGACTATAATCTGGACTATAGAATATTCTATAGTCTGGGCTACAGAACTTTCTCTTCTATTACAGTTTTAGATCAAGACTATACTATGACTATAGATTAGTCCATAGTTTTGACCATACTTTAGTATTGGCTATAGACCAGACTAAAGTCGGTCTATAGCCAATACTATAGCTGAGAGTAATTTCAATTATAGATAAGTCTATAGTCTTGACTAAAGATCAATCAATAGTCTTGGCTACAGATCTGTCTACATTCTCAACTATTACAGTTTTAGATCAAAACTATACTATGATTATAGATGAGTCTATAGTCTTGTCCAGGCTATAGATCTGACTAAAGTCGGTAGATCTATAAATGAGACTAATCTCAACTATAGATTAGTCTATAGTCTTGACTAAAGATAATCTTGACAATAGATCAGTCCATAGTCATGAAAATAGCTTTGTATAGTCTTCACTATAGATTAATCATTAGTTTTGACAATAGATCAGTTTAAATACGTGATTATTGACCGCTCTAAGTCAGAACTATAGATCAATCTATAGGACAGTCTCTAGTTTTGACTAAGAATCAGTTTATGGTCGTGACTAGAGATTAGTCCATAGACTTACTTTTAGAGCAAGAATTTAATATTACTGATCAAATTTTATTGTGTAATTTCTTTGAATTGAGAAATTTATCGAATATTTTCCCTAAAAAGACAAAAGTTATCGAAATTTTACTAAAAGTTGAAGTAATTTAATATTGATTTCCTTTTTTATCCCCAAAAGATGGATTCCCGATTCTCCCCGTTGGATGGTAGCAAGAGGAAGAGTTTTGGAAGCCAAACGGATATTAATAAAGGTAACTCTCACCCTCTCTCCCTATAATTCTCTCTCTCAAGTAAATAATAATCTTATCTAAACTCCCCTCCACCCCTCTAGTGTGCTGAAATGAACGGTACTCGTTATAGTCTTCCTCATGATATCGATCAGCAATTACAGCTACAGGCTCAGACGGCCATGGATGCACCACCCCCAGCCAGCTGGTGGACCATATGGAAGGGTGAAAAGGCTGTAAGACACATGATATGCGTGCACTTGTGCTGGTCCATTTATATAGTAGTCTATTATGGAATGTTATTGAATATACGCTCATTTAGTCGTGACCATTTACAAATTAATACTGTGATAGCCGGTATTTCAGAAATTATCGGTACATTTATTGGTCTATTCCTGATATTGAAAACCACACGCAAATGGGTGTGGACGGGTTTGTTTAATATAGTAGCGGGTTGTATAGCGTATATGGGTTGGCTGGTACCGCATGATAGTAAGTTTACGGTTTAAAAAAAAAGATATAACAATTTTTAATCATTTTTTTCTTCAATTTTTAGTTGATTTTGATGGTCGTGTGGCCTTATTAATGTTAACCGCCATGATATCTAAAATTGCCATTTCCTGTACCTTAGCCATACTCACCACCTGCACCGTGGAGCTGGTAAGCAATGAGAAAAAGAAAATCTGCGCCTTTTCCACCATTTGTTGGGCCCGTTTTTGGCTTTTGGGTGCTCCGTTTATAGGAGCCACCGTCGTCTTTGGCCAACTAATACCACAAACAGCTTTTGCCTCTTTAGCTATAACGGGAGGCTTTTTAAGCACACTTATCTCTAGTCCACGCACCATACCCAAGAAACATAGTTCGCAGGTGACCAGTAATATGGCCGCCGCCACACAAATGCCCAACGAGGGAGGCATTGATAATAAGGCTTACTCCAAGGGACCTATATTTAATAATATTAGCGCTAAAATGACCACACAACAAACTAATCTACCTCCACAATTAATGCCTGGTATTTGGACAACCAAAAATCATGAAGAAACTCCACCCATATGATTTTCTGATTTTCTTAGACCCTCCCCCTTCTCACTCTCCCCCTTAAAGCCTTTCTTTAAGTTGAATTTTTCTTCTTATATCAAGCAATCAAAAATTATCTATTTAAAGCACCAGATTCCACCCTAAGAATCTCAAAATATAACGGGTATTGTAGAATAAATTTAATTCTATTTGCAAAAACCAAAACCAAAAAAATAGTAAAACAACTAAAAAAAAAACTTAGTAGAGCTTCAAGCTTTTAAAAAAGAGTAAATTTAAAGAAATTTTATTAAAAATTTCTTACGTTCAATTAAGTAGTTGTAATCAACAAATAAAACAAAATAAACGGTCAGTTTTTGTTTAAGCTTTATAGGACCATTTAACTGAAATTCGAATATATTATATTTCGAATATAAATATTGAAATTTTTTCTTTAAAACAAAACTTACATAAACCCCAGTTTATAATTATTATTATGATTATTCCTTAGACAAATTAGTAAAATATTTTTAATTAAACCAAACAAAGTTAAAAAAAAGATTATTAAATAATTAGCAATTTCATTATGCTCAATTAAAGAATATAATATTTAAAAAAATGCCTCTAAATTTTAATTAATATGAACAAAAAAATATTAGAAAATTTATATATTTTATGTAAAAAGTAAAAAAAAAAGATGTTTACAAAATCTAATTTTAGCAAAACTTAAATTAAGTTCAATAACAGGGTTTTAATTCTCCCCAATAATTCCCTAAATAGAAAAATTTTATGGAAAATTTAAAAAAAATATAAATTTTTTAAAAATCTTCAATTTAAATAAAGTTATTTTTCTAAATTTTAAATTAAATCAAAAAAAATTCAAAATTTTACTTTAAAAGACAATATTAATGAAATTTTTTCTATAAACAATGAAATTTATTGAAAATTTTGTAAAAATACAAACATTTTTTTTTTGAAAATTCTCTATAAATAATGACATTTATCAAAATTTGTAACTAAATGGAATAATTTTATACAAAATTTTACTTTAAACGGTAAAACTAAACGAAATTGATTCTCTAAACGGAGAAATTTAGTGAAAATTTTAATTTAAAAAAATTTAATTAAAAAAAATTCTTATAAAATTTCGTTGAATAGAGAAATTTATTAAAAAATGTCGATAAATAAAGAAATATCTTGAATTTTAATAAAAATATTACTAAATTTTTTCTTTATATAGATTAATTTATCGAAAATTATCTATAAATGAAGAAATTTATTAAAATGAAGAGTTTTTTTTTTTTTTTTAAATTTCGATTAAAAATTTATCGAACATTTTCTATAAATTATGAGTTTTAACAAAATTTATTGAAAATTTTACTCTAAGTGGAAAAGTTTAACGAAATTTTTTCTTTAAAAAAAGAAATTTTCTAAAATAGACAAAATTTATAAAAATTTTGCCTTAAATCAGGCGCGGATCCATGGGGGAAAGGAAAATTTACCAATCTCTCCCCAAAACCGAAAATTTTTCATACAAAATATAAAAATGAGGAAAAAGGAAAAAAAGAACATAAGTAAAAAACAAAAAATAACCCCCTCCCCCCAAACGCTTGAGGTGGATTCGCGCCTGCCTTAAATGCAGACATTTATCGAAAATTTACTCTTAATAAAGTAAATTATCGAAATTTTACTTTAAATAAAGATTTTTTAATACAATTTTTACCATAAATAGAAAATTCTATTAAAATAGAAATATTTAACGCAATTTTACTCGAAATAGAGAGTTTTATCGAAATTTTACTCTAAATAGAGAAACTTATCGAAAATTTGCCTTAAATATAGAAATTTGCTAAACATTTAATCTAAATAGAGAAATTTATCGATATTTTACTCTAAATAAAGAGATTTTATTAACATCTTTCTATAAAGAGAGAAATTTATTGAAATTATACTCTTCACAAAGAAATTTATCGAAAATTCACTCTAAATAGAAAACTTTTATCAAAATTTTACCATAAATAGAGAAATTTATTGAATTTTTAAACTAAATAGAAATAGTTTATTAAATTTTGTTTACTAAGGCGCAATTTACATGAAGACTTTTCAGACGTCTGTTTTTTCCAATTCTCTTTTGAGAATCTTCTAAAAAATCATGAACATTTATACGGTGATTTTTTACATGCAACTATGCATGTCTTTTTTTGATGTTTAATTGTATAATCCTTTTTAATTACTTATTCGTAATAAAAATAAAATGAAATTTTTAACATAAAAACCATTAATTTGATTTAAAAAAAAATTAATAACACGCTATAGTATTTTTTTAATGCAAATTTTAATGTTTTCATGTAAAAAAAATACATAATTATTTTTTTACATGAGCATAATATCAACAGTACGAATGAGTTTAAAGAGGAATGTCAAAAACAATCATGAAAATCCCAAATCATGTTTGTTTTCTTACCCCCCATTCTTCTCTACCCCGCTCACCACCAATCATCGACAAACATGAAAACAGACGTCTGGGCAAACATGAAAAAAAATCATAGTGTAAATTGGGTGTAATAGAGAAACTTATCGAAACATTACTCGAAATAGTGAAATTTTCTGAAAATTTATTCTAAATAGAGTAATTTATCGAAATTTTGCTCTAAATAAAGAAATTTTATTAATATCTTTCTATTAAGAGAGAAATTTTTCGAAATTATACTCTTCACAAAGAAATTTATCGAAAACTTTCACTAAATAGAGAATGTTTATCGAAGTTTTTTTATAAATAGAGAAATCTATCGAAATTTGACTATAAATGGAGAAATATATCGAAAAATTTCTCTATATAGGGAAATATATGGATATTTTACTCTAAATAGAGAAAATTTATTGAAATTTTCCTACAAATAGGGAAACTTATAGTAAATTTATTCTAATTATAGCAATTTATCAAATCTTGCTCAAAATAAAGAAATTTTATTGACATCTTCCTATGAAGAGAAAAATTTATAAAAAAATTCAATCTTAACAGAAAATTTTTTATGGAAATTTTACCATAAATAGAGAAATCTATCGAAATTTTACTACAAATGGAAAAATTTATTGATAAGTTACTCTATATAGAGAAATATATCGATATTTTTCCTACAGATAGAGAAACTTATTATAAATTTATTCTAATTATAGAAAATTATCGAAAATTTACTCTAAATACAGACATTTTATTAACATCTTTCTATAAAAAGTGAAATGTATCGATATTTTACTCCAAATAGAGAAATTTTATTGATATTTTTTTCTATAAAGAGAGAAATTTAAGGAAATTTTACTCTTCGTAAAGAAATTATATAAATTTATCGAAAATTTACTCTAAATAGAGAATTTGTTTCAAAGTTTTACCCTGAATAATGAATTCTACTTATAAAGGAATTTAAACGAAATTTTACTCTAAATGTTGAAAATTGGTTCTAAAAAGAGAAAAAATATCGAAAATTTGCTATAATTAAGAATTTTATAAAAATCATTCTTTAAATAGAAACCTTTAATGAAAGTTTAATCTTTTTAAAAAAATTATCGAAATTGTAATCTAAATAAAGAAATTTATCGAAAAATTCCTCTATATAGAGATATTTGACTCTAATAGAGAAACTTATTAAAAAAATTGAGAAATTTATTGAAAAAGTACTCATTAATTCCTTAAAAGAAATCAAATTACAAAATATCTTAAAAAGATCTAAGGGAAATTTCTTGAATCAAAACCCTAAATAATATTAAAATTGTTTAAATAAACTTTTACTAACAACACAAAAAAGTTCCTGCTAAATTAACTTCCTAATAAAATAAAAACAAAATAATTTTAAAATCTACAAATAATTTTAAGAAAATTAAAACAAAAAAATACCTAAAATTTTTAAAAATTATAATTACATCAAATTTTAAACCTTAATTTTAAAAGAATTCTAAAACAAAAATCCTTCCTAAAATTCCTTAAAAAGTATTAATTAGTTTAATTCTTACTAAACCTTACTTCCTATCTTTAAACTATGTATAATATATGATTTACTTTGTTTAACACTTATTACTAAATAGATTTTGTAAACATCTTTTTTTTTTCTTAAATTGTTTTTAAATTAAAAAAAAAAAAATAAAAAATTTTAATTAAAAGAAAATATTTAAAATATTTTCTACTTAAAAAAAATCTATTAAAATAAATTTCTTTTAGTTCTTTTTTTATTCACATAATTTAAGTAGTTTAGTTAACTGAAATTATTTGTAATTTCTTTAGAATTAAACAACAACAAATACTATTATTAAATTAAAACAAAAAAGACGCTCGTTTTTAAAAACAAACTTAAGATTAAAATCTAAAATAAAATAATGAAAACTGTTACAATAAAGAAACAAATATTTTAATTGTTATTTTTGCGAAAAATTGAAATGATAAACTAATGGTTTTAATTATTCTTGAAGATTTATTTAAAAAAGGTGAGTTTATGCCAGCAAAATTAAGCGGATATATAAATTGTATACCAAAATGGACCAAATCATAAATAATTACCACTTTCTCATTATTTAAATACAAATTTAAAACACATTAAACGTTAATTGATTACTCTTTTCACTGAGAACTTGGCAGCACTTATTAAATTTTGTGCAAAAGTGCCATCTTTATGTCATTTTCTCACAGTGGCATACGTTAAAGTAGTGATAACTCTTTTATATTATATGACAAAAAACGCTGAAAATGTTAATAACAAGAAAATCGCCAAATAATTTATCTATCCATCTACTATCTATCTATCTATCTATCTATCTATCTATCTAATCTATCCTATCTATCTATCTTATCTATCTATCTATCTATCTATCTATCTATCTATCTATCTATCTATCATCTATCTATCTATCTATCTATCTATCTATCTATCTATCATCTATCTATCTATCTACTATCTATCTAAATCTATCTATCTATCTATCTATCTATCTATCTATCTATCTATCTATCTAAGCTATCTATCTATCTATCTATCTATCTATCTATCTATCTATCTATCTATCTATCTATCTATCTATCTATCTATCTATCTAATCTATCTATCTAGATATCGACT